TTTTCTACCATAGTTTACTGTTTTTTTTGAAAAAAAGTTTGTTGTGATTTTGGTACAAGGGATCGTCGGGAAGAGTTTTCAATTTTTGATATTTACCCAACAATTATTTATTCAATCTTTTATAATATTAATAACAATCAGATTGCAGAATTAATCTTTTATCTTGAAATAATGCCATGGGCATATTTGAAATAATATGCATGTAGCCAAAATAGCATGCAGATGTCTGCTACTTCAAGAATTTACAGTAGGTCCAAATTTCACCATTATCCAATTTCATAATCATCTGTGACAATAAATAATAATAATTTATTGTCAATATATTGTATTTATTGTTGCTACTCTATATTCTTTAAAAATATTTTTTTATTAGAAAATAAAATAAGTAAAATTTTGCAAAAAACTGTATTTTTGTAGATTTTTTTATAAAAAATCTGCAAAATTTTTAAAATTTGAAGTTTTACACAGAACTGTATTTAATTTTTATATTTATAGTAGAGTTTCTATCCATCATTATTTATCTATTTATCTATTAGATATCCAGGTCTGAATTTATTTAAATATTTGTTTTACTATTAATATCTGAATAATTATTCAAATATTTATTGGATTATCCAAATACCAATAGTAAATAAATATCCAGATAATTTCAGATATAAATAAATAGATAACAGATTTATCTGAATTTAGAACCTCTAATTTATAGTATTAAATTTGAAGTTTTGTATAGATTTTTAGTTAACTTATTATTTAATTTTTTGCAAATATATGCAGAACTGCAATAAAAAAATTTTCTAAATACTTTTGTTTTAGACTATCTTATATTATTAACCTTTTTTCAAATTAGTACAAAACTTGATTTGATATTTTTTTTTATTGTATTTTTTTTTAATATCAATCTTCAAACTATAATATTTGCAATATTGTTACAGAATAAAAGTAGTTTTTTGAAAATAGCTCTAAAATAATTAGCTATAAAATATAATATAAAAAACTTAGCTATTAGATAATTATCTATAAATATTCTAATAGCTATAATATAGATATGAAGTTAAAAATTCCACAAGATAGTAAAGAAATTAAGTGCTAGGCTAAGTTAAAGAAAAGATAGAGAAAATTTCTAAATTTTAAAAAAAATTTATTAAACCTTTAAAAGTTTAGATTGTAAAAATAAAAATAAATCAAAATTTGAAAAATCATTCAAAATGTTAAGTCTAAATAAATTAAAATTGATAAATTTTGTCTAAAATTAATCAAATTTTACCAATAAATCTATGTAGATAGATTTGACTTATTAATATAATAATTCAAAAAATAATCTATATGCATATTTTGATTTATAAACAAATTACAGAATTGTATAAATAATCAATCATTTTTTTGTACTGTATGTTTAGTTATCTTTGTGTTTAATTTCAATAAAAATTGTCAGGGATGATGCTAAAATTTGAATTTATTTTATTGCAGTTTGCATAATTTTGTGACCCTATGATTAATTTTTTTTTATGATTAAATGATTGTGATTGCTAAAGCCGGCCAGTTTATCATAAATCTGAGCTTAGCAAACACAGATTCATGATAAATCGGCTGCCTTTAGTAATCGAGATCGCAATCACAATCATTTAATCATAAAGAAAATATCATAGGGGTCTCAAAATTATGCAAACCGCAATAATATGAATTTTAAAATTTTTTGGGGTGTTTTTTCTAGATTTTTTTTTTTTTATGGTTGGATTAGGATTTAGGGTTGTAATTAAAAGTATGGGTGGGTTTTGGTAGCATTTATATTTTTAAATAGAAGCCCTAAATTTCAGCATCATAACCGACAAATATGTTTGGAATTAAATAACGATAGCGATACTATAAGAAAATATCGAATAAGAGAAAATCAGGAATCAAAAACTTGTAAATTTATAATTTAACGATTCAATTATAATATTTTTCAAGGATCGAATCCGGTGTTTAAGAACAATGTCGGTTTTTTTTTTTCTGGCGTCGCTTACGTATTAGAAAAAAGCTTCAAATGTGCTAAAATACAAAAAAAAAAAAAAACATTTGTAATATCAAAATTTTGCCCAGTTTTCGTACGTACGTACGTACGCCTACAGTATACTTGTACCCCGTACTGTACTACTTTACGAAATACGTACGAAAATTTCAAAATGGCACGGAAACATGATTATATCGATATTTTTTAAATTAAAAAAGCTTAACTATATCAAATGGATAAAAAAAAAAAAAAAATTTAAGCAAAACAAAAAAAAATCACTTGTTTTTAGATTCTAAAAAGCAAAAAACTAAAATTTTAAACCAAAAATTATTAGGACTGTTTTTAATCACTTCTTTTAGAAACAGATTGAATAAACTTTTTGTGCTATTGAAATATGTGACATTGAATACAGTTTTTATTTATGGTTACAATAATTTTTACATATATAAAAATATCCGTTGACCTACTCTCAAAATAAAAAATTCACTTTTAAATTATTTATAATAGCAACAAATCATTAAGGTTAAAAAAACAAACATCAATAAAAATGTCACGGCTAATTTATTTTTTTATGTTATTATTTACTTTAATTTGGTCTGCTTCAGCCCGTAAGTTAGCAAATTTCTTTTTACTTAGTAGAATTTAGTATATAATTAATCAGCGAGACACACCCACCTTTTTTCTTCAAAAATTTACCATTGATAAATGTCACTCAAGCATTACTTTTACATTTTTTTACATATCAAACAAACATAATAAACCATTAATTATCAACAAATTTCTAACCGGTCTAAAAAGGTAGCCACTTTATTCTTAATGTTCGAAGTTTTTAAAATAAATAATCGATACCTTGATACGAATGTAATAGATACGATCCATCCTTTAACTTTAATAAACTATAATGAATACTGTTATTCCATTTTCTCTCATTTAAATTTAAAATCTCAGTAAAGAAGACCTAAGACTGAAAGGTTTGGGTAAATGTTTTTCCATATTTGATGGACAGTAAAGAAATTTAAACTGTTAAAATCATTAAAAAGAGGAGCCGATGTAACTAAAGTTGAAACTTTAACGGTTGATCGAAAATAATTTTTTTTTCATTAGGTTTTTTAGGTAATATAACGAACATTACGAAAAACAGAAAAAGTATGCTCAAGCATTTAATTCTATAAATATTGTCATCAATTTAATGCTTGAGCGTCATCACGATTATTATCTGATTAATTGATTTAGATGCTTGAGAACAGCCTAAGGTGAACATTCTGCAATGAAAAAATATCAAATCAAACTTTGTATCAATCCGAAAAGAAAAGTTGGCAATATAAGAAACCTGGAACAGAAAAATATCTTAAATAATGTAGAATAGGCGAAATAAAAATGCATTCTATTGACAGTAAATTACTGTTATTTTATTGTTGTAAATTTTTGTTTAAAATATTAAATTTAAAAAGAACAACCTAAAACATTCGTAAACAAACTCCACGAATGAGAAATAAAAAAATTTTATTGTTAGTTATTAGAATATTTTGGAGATGACAATATAGGTAGTTATGCTTGAAGAGGTTAGTGGGATGCATCACCATCCTACTATGAGAGTAAGTTTCAACACGGTATAAGGTGAATATGTGCGAATGAGCTGGATTATGAATTACATAAATAATATGAATGAAGCGTAATTTATTATAAACTTATAGATAAGGTTATAAATAAAATAATATATTATTATGATATTTTTGTGCTTGTAGTTTCTTAAACCTGAATATCAATAATAGATTGAAAATTCATTCGTTTAAATTAAAACTGACCTTTGAATCACTCATTCAGCAAAGTAATGGAGTGGGTGTGTGTCCAGTCTACAATGGTTCACGACGAATTCTAGACTTGATCCCCGAAGTGCACCACCCTGGATTAAGCGCAAATGGCCCGAACTCTGGGGTAATTCTTTAATATTTACAATTTATCACTGGTAAATTTTTTTCATGGTTAAAGGTATGGACATTAGAACATGAAAATAATATACGGCATAGTCGTAAGTGACGTAGCTACTTTTATATTTTTTGTTTAAGCATCATGCTCAAGTTTTTTATTCCTGCTTTCAAATGAATTAGCAGGCTTGTTAAACGATAAGGTAAACAATATAATATATTTGAGGATATTTTAGCTTATCGTTAATAAAATTACATATTAAAAAAGTACATAGCAATATTTTTATGGATGTTAAAAATACATAAATGATCAAAAATACAATGGTAAAGAACTTTAAAAAAAGCAAAAATAAAATAAAATAAAAATCTTAACGTTTATTATTAATGTAGCATATTGTGGTCAGCGCTGCTAGGCGTTGGAATATATTTTGAATCTTGATGTTTTTTATATGCACGATATCCAATAAAAGCAAAGATTAAGCCAATTACAATACCACCTATAGCAATACCAATATAAATCCCAACATTAGATGAGGATGATTGTCCCGGAGATTGAGAAGTTGGTTGAGGTTGTGATACAGGATTTGGTTGGGCGAGAGGGGTGGTAGGGGCACTAGAAGGAGGAACCGCGGATGAAGCTGGGGGAGGACCGGGTGGAGCCGCGGATGAAGCTAGAAGAGGACTGGGTGAAGGAGCCTCGGATAAGGCTGGAGAAGGACTTGGCGAAGGAGTCGCAGATGAAACTGGAGGAGGACTGGGTGAAGTCGCGGATGAAACTATGGAAGAAGGAGCTGCGGATGAAGCTGGTGGAGGGCTGGAAGAAGGGCTATCATATGGAGCTGGAGCACTAGATGCAGATGCAGGTGCTTTAGCTGCATCAGTGACTGTGAAAGTTCCAGAATACTTATCACCAGAGCCGTCATTGAGAGCAAGGTAATAAGTTCCCGCAGGAACATTGACCGTCCATTGGTAAGATTGAGTACTGAGGTTTATGGAATTGCTAATTGTGGTTGTGTTTTTAGACGTGCTATTGATAACACTTAAAGTACCTGGAGACGGATACGCTTGTTGGGTGTATGTCCAAGTGATTGTGATAGTGGAACCAAGTGAAACGCTACCAGCAGGCGTGATAAGCGATTGAACCTCTAAAAATACAGGTAAAATGTTAAAATTGCTTGATATATCTAATCATTAATTAATCATCCACCTTTATTCCCTCTAGAATGTTATTTTGGTTATCCCGCTTTTTTTCGTTTAGGATTACCTATACTGAATTTTTTATCAAAATTAATGTTAAGAAGCTGGATAAGTGAATAACACCCCCCATTTTTCCTATAATGATGATTACCAAAATTCTAATAAGCAAAAAGAAATTTTGTTAACTTACGGGCTGAAGCAGACCAACTAAGAACCAAGATTAAGATTAAGAAATGTATTAGTTGTGACATTATTATTAGTTATTCGTTGCTATGATAATAATTTAAATGGGACTTTTTATTTTTGAAATTAGGTCAGCCGAGATATTTTATATATAAAAATTATTGTATCCATAAATAATAATTTATTATATTGTATTAAATGTCAAGTACATGTAATTTCAATAGTACAAAAAAAATATTCAATCGATACAACAAAATTTTCTTAATTAAATAGTTACAAAATTTTCTAACCGTGTCGAGAGTTAGTGATGTAACACAAACTCGATAATTTCGTCATATGTCAAGTTAGTTTGAGATTTGTTAAATACCATGATATCATTTATTTACCAACTTAAAGTTTTTTGTGTTTTGTTTTGGTAAAATCCCAAATTCCGATCAAAAAACTGCCGTAATTGTCAATTGATGCCGAAAAGTTTGGGTTACATCACTAGTCAGGGTATATAATAGCAAGTGATGTAGTACATTGCGGAAAACGCAAATTAGGGCGGATGTGGAATTATGATATTACGTACGATTTATAAAATAATAAAATTCTATAACCTAACCTTGCCCTAACACGAAAAAGGAACAATATTCGCACTTCCCTAAACCTAACCATTAAAAAAATGTTACTACGTAATAAAATTGAATTATATTAATCGTATGTACTATCAAAAAATTTAATATAATTTCATATGTCCGTTGCAAAAATGGTGGTTACTGGTGGTGACTATATATCGGGGAATATAGGTCTCACTAACTAACTAACAAATACTATTCTACTACTAAACCTACAATGTACTCTAATAACGGCAGGCTGAAAGAGGCGTGGAAGACTTGGTCCGAGTCACTAGGATCAATAAGGCTCTAGTTCGGGGTCACGGGATTAGACATTTATGTATCGGGGGAAATTAGAACGAAATACTTATGTGATCAATATTCGAACTTTATTGAGTTCTTCCCAGAACTGCTTTATTGTGAGGGAAAAGACTTCGTATTTATAGTTTCTACACTATTAATGAGTACATAATGACCATGTTCGTTATGTTGACTATGTCAACTATATTCACTATAATGACCATTCTATATTCACTGTATTCGATGAATTTCTACAGCCATATTTGGCGAATCTATGAAATTCATCCCAAGCCACCTTAGTGACTACCTATTTTACTGAATACCTTCCGTGTTATGTTGAAATTTCGTTTTCTTATACGTATACATATATACAGTGCTTAAACTGCTACAGTTAAATTTCACTAAATGCAACTTCCTACACCATCCAGTAGAGTTTTTAACTTCACGTATATATAAGCCTTTCATGTCGTGATTGAATATTTCACAGCTGATTATTTTTAGAGCTATTTTCAAAAAGTCACTTTTATCCCGTAACAACGTTATTGCAAATATTATAATTTGAAGATGATGTTGAGGAATATGAACATTCTGCAATGAAAAAAGTATTAAATCATACTTTGTACTAAACGGAAAAAAAAAAGAAAATTAACATAAGAAGCCTGGAACAAGAAAAATATCTTTAAAGAACTTAGGCGAAATAAAATTGCAGTAAATTACTGTTATTTTATTATCGCAAATATTTGCTCAAAATATCAAGTTTTTACCCAAAAAATTGTAAACAAACTTAATGAATGAGAAATAAATTAAAATATTATTGTTAGTTATTAGAATACTTTGGAGAAGATGATATAGGTGGTTATGCTAGAGGAGTTTAACAAATCAGCAACGTTCTTGTATGATGGAACTTATATATCACCATCTTACTATAAGAGAGTGGTTCAATTTAAACTGCGATATAGGCTACTATCCATATAGTTCAACCTGCAAGACGTTTAAGGTGAATATGTGCGAATGAACTTGGATTATGAATTACATAAGTAATATGAATGAAATGTAATTTATTATAAACTTAGAGTTTAGATAATATTATAAATAAAATAATATTAATGCATGTAGTTTCTTAAACCTGAATATAAACATTAATTGAAAATTCGTTCGTTTAAATCAAAACTGATTTTTGAATCACTTATTCATTAAAGTAATGGAGTGAACGTGTGTTCAGTCTACAATGGTTCACGGCGAATTCTAGGCTTGATTCCCGAACCTGCACGAAGCGTAAATGGCCCCAAATTCTAAGGATGATTCTTTTTAATCGTCTTAAAAAAAAATAAACAGATTTTAAATGCTGAAATGGCTTGGCCTAATATTAACTTTAATAGTCACAATTTATCACTGGTAAACGTTTTTCATGATTAAAAGTATGGACATCGGAACAAGAAAATAATATACGGCATAGTCGTAAATGATGTAACTACTAAATTTTTATATTCTTCGTTTAAGCATCATGTTCAAATTTTTTTTTTCTTGCTTTCAATGAACTATCAGGCTTGTTAAACGATAAGATAAACAATATAAAGTCAGACCTCCCTAAATGCAACCCAAGTTCTGGCCAAGTATATTTTTCCTAACTCTCACAAATGCAGTTTTTTCTTCTTGTTCTCTAAATGCATACTATCAAAAGTTTGGTCCCAATGAGTTGCACTTAGGGAGATCTGACCGTAATATATTTGAGAATATTGTAGCTTATCGTTAATTAAAATTACATATTAAAAAGGTACAGTACATAGTAATATATTAAAAAATAAGAAATAATTTAGATTTAACCAGAGGTGAAATACACCGACCTAAGAATTTTTAGGGTTAGGGTGCAGTTTTAAGATGGAGATGGTTTTTATATAACATAATGTAGATTAGATATTAGGTCTCGATCTTAGTTCTTGTTAGGTTTTCAGGGGTCCTGAACATTTTTACTTAGAATACCCGATCTTGTTTACTTAGTACGTTTTTGAGATATAGCACCCTGATGAATTTCACCTCCGGTGAGCGTTAAAATACTCCAAAAAATAAATACAGGATCAAAAATAAAATAAAATAATCTTAGCGTTCATTTTCATTAATGTAGCATATAGTGGTCAACACCACTAAGCGTTGGAAAAAATTTTGAATTTTTATGTTTTTTATATATGATTCCCAACAAAAGCAAAGATTAAGCCAATTAAAATACCACATATAGAACACAAATATAAATTCCAACATTAGATGAAGATTATTGTCCTAGAGAAGAAGCTGAAACAATCGAAGCTGGAGCAGCACCTGCGGGTTGGAAGACTGTGAAAGTTCCAGAATATTTGTTACCAGAGCCGTCATTGAGGCTAAGATAATAAGTTCCCGCAGGAACATTGACCGTCCACATGTAAGACTGAGCACTAAGATTTATGGAATTGCTAATTATGATCGTGTTTTGAGATGTGTTATCGATAACACTTAAAATGCCTGGAAGTGCATTCGCTTGTGGGGTATATGTCCAAGTGATTATAATAGTGGCACCAACTGCAATATTACCACTGGGCGTGTTAATTATTTGAACCTCTAAAAATGCATGTACAATGTTAAAATCGCTTGATAATATTAATTTGGAACAATTGTCTGCCTTTTATACACTCTAGGATGTTATTTTAAGAAGCTGGATAAGCAAATAGCACCTTATTTTGCTTATAATGATATTCGAATAAGTAAAAAGAAATTTTGCTGACTTACGGGCTGAAGCAGACCAACTAAGAACCAAGAATAAGATTAAGAAATGAATTAGTTGTGACATTATTATTGATGTTTAGTTGTTTTTTAGCCTTAATTATTCGTTGCTATAATAAAGTAACCTTTTTAGTAGGTCAAAGAATATTTTTATATATAAAAATTATTGTAACCATAAATAATAACTTACTATATATACTGTATTCAATGTCACATATTTCAATAGCACAAAAAAATTCTTCAATTTGTTTCTAGAAAAAGTGATTAAAAACAGTTATAATAATTTTTATGTAGTTTATAAAGATTTTTAGTTTTAAAATTTTAGTTTGTTGCTTTCTAGGATATTAAAAATAAGTGATTTTTTTTGGTTTGCTTAACATTATTATTTTTTTTTTATTCATTTGATACGTATAATTAAGTTTTTTTTTTGTTTAGAAAATATTGGTATTATAGGTATACAAATATCGATATCGAACGAAATTGAGCAAAAATTTTAATAGTACTGTACGTACGTACGTTAAAAAAAAATAAACTATATTCGTTTAATTCGTAAGCGGCGCCAAAACTAAACAAACCAAAAAAAAGACATTGTTCTTAAGCAATGGATCAATCCTTGAAAAATATTATAATTGAGTCATTAAATTATATGTTCGATTTCTGATTTTTTTGACAAATGCATTTTTTTTGAGCAGATCATATGTAAATTGCAATTTAAAAGTATATTGTATCATAAGCAAACTGAATCACCCATTCGAGGGCTTTCTGCCAATGCAATGTTTGGCAGTGCGTAGACTTTGTGCTCTTTGAATTCTTCGCTTACTTTTTGGGGACTTTCAGAAACCACATAAATTTAAGATGCTCAACATAGTTTAAATATCGGAGATAATCGTCAGAACTTAATCCGCATCAGACTTTTAGTAAATTGGAGTCGAGCTCGTGATATTTGACTAAGATGATTGGGTATCTGCATTCCTGCAAATGCCTGCGATTGCTGGTATGTATGTACGTACGTACGATTACATATTTACCGTATGGTGGTCAAATATTTGACTTGTGTGACCATCAACTGTGTGACGAATAAGAATTAATTAAAATATGTGTATGATTAATTCCTATTCATCAAACAATAATTGGTCACACCTATACTTGTCGTCCAAATCCAAATTCATCCCAAATTAATATCTCAAAACTTTATTAATAATCTTTGTTTAAATAAAATATTATATATTCTTAATATATTTGCAAATTATTATGATTTACTTGTTTGATTTAATCTTTTATAAATAGCAATTGTTTTTTTGGAATTTGTGATTTGTCCAGGCTTTGCCGACAAGTATCTTTAGCTATTCAACTTTTTTATTCGATGCTACAGACATGAAAAATGTATTCTACATCGAAGAATTTTAATTTAATCAAGTAAATATAAGTTTATTATCAGGAACCAAACCCGAATAATTAGTAGAGGAATCAGTTGACGACAAAAAATTCTAGAAATACGTGTTTCATATCCTAGTTTTACATTAAAATTATACAATGAAAGATTGTTTAAAATTAAACAAACTCGGGAATGTCATATACAAAATGACAAAAGTGAAATTAAACGGCAACAAATTGCATTATATAGAAAAGGTAAATGTTTGTTTTAAAATTATTTTTAAATAAAAGATATATATTAATTTTTTTTTTTATTTAGCAATAAGACGTAAATCCACTAATGCTAATGTATACGAAAGAAAGATTTCCATTACCAACAATAATAAAAGATTATGTCGTGAAACTAGTTTTCAAGGTGCAATTGAAGCAACAGCAATTGAATCGACGTTTAACGTTAAAAAAACATCAATAGTATAAAAATAGCCCTTTTCTTATTTATTATAATATGTTGTCATTATTATTGTAAGCCCTTACTTTAGTATGAGTTTTTCTTAATTTGTTAAAGATGTAATAAGGGAACATCCATAATTTACGTTAAATCAGTACATTAAAATAGAGACCTTGAAAATAACTCCATATAGTATTATTTTTGTATTATCTTTAAGATCCCTATAACAATGCTGGTTTAACGTAAATTATGAACATCCTCTTATATATACTTTCATCTCTTCTCTTTTTCTTTATTTTTTTTTTATACTCTATTTTAGTGTTGTTAACTGGAAGCTACTAGAAGACAACTAGAAGAAAATTAATAGTATTACTAGAACTTTTATAAATTTTTACTAGAAGGCTGAGAATTACTACTGGAAGCAAAAATTAACAATACTGCTCTATCTCTTTTTATGTCTTTTTTACTTTCTACAGTAAAAGAAAAGTAAAAAAAAAGTAAAAAAAAGTATAAAAGAATAAAAGAAGCATATAAAAAGAGGGTAGAAAAGAAAAAAGAAAGAAAAAGTAGAAGATTGTATATATAAACTCTTTTCTGTTAGCTTTCTAATAGCAGTATTATACTATATACAGTATATATACAAGTTTTTAATAATTAATAAGAAAAAATAAAATAATATCAACACTTTTAAATAGTTTAAATCTATTACTATATACTAAAAAAATTTGTGTGTAATAATAACATTTAGATTACACTATTTATACTATATAATGATAATATTTAGATTGCTAATTTATAGTGTATAATGATAATATTTAGAATAACAATATAAATAATCTATATCTTAAAAAAAAACTCTAAGTAAAATTGTAGAAAGGTGTCTTGTAATCAAAATAGCAGTTAAAACATTAAAATCGGCTTAGTGAATCACAAAATATAAGTACTTTAGTCTTCATGATTATATGTTTTCTTCTTTATTTATAAAAAAAAATATAAGAGGTGTGGTGATCTAGTGTAGTGGTTAGGTTGTCACCCTTACCAAATGGCAGGTCAAGAGTTCAAAACCCACTGAGGATAGAAAATTCGAATAATTATCTGTGTTATAGCAACTGTCTTTCGTTGATCAGTTGGGATAGGATATTTATAACTATAGTCGCACTAGCAAGACTGGCAGGTCTGGGGTATTCGTGCAACTTTGGGTTACACAGAGGAATGCAAACCAGTAATAGGCAGTGCAAACACTAGATAAGTTTCTAGGTTATGTAAATCTGTAGAACTGGAAAGACGGAAGCCCATTTGGAAAGACCTAAGTAAAAAGGTAATACAGATCTTTGACGGTACTACTATAAAGACTAGACACAAGAAAAGAAAACTGAAATGGAAGAACTAGACGGGGCATGATTGGTGTGTGGTAAAGCTAGTCTACCAACCAGGCCACCGAGACAACCGGAGAAAAAGGTCATGACAGTGCCAATGAACCAAGAACAGGTTATAGTCTTTCCAGACCATCTGGATTTGGAGTCTGGAACCAAAGCGGAGAGGAACTGAAGTATTGGGGATATGCTATGAAGTGGGTACTGGGGTTTGGGTGAACTTTGCAAGAGCATAGCCCTGTTAATAGGACTGTAGAGTGGGTAGGTTGTTGACCCTGAGCCTTGCTACTGGGTGATGTACCCCTTAAAAAGGGTATGGCCTGGGTTCCTAGCACAGAAAGGGAGACCACATATCAAGTTAGATAACACTTGTTGTACAGGAACTTAGGTGCTAACTGCTAAGTGGGTACAGAAAATCAGAGTGTTTAAAATAAGCAATCTTCTAGTAGGTTGTAGGTATAGCAACTAGTGTAGAACTTTCGGGCGGACTACTTAAATAGGCAATCAAAAGTTGTACGTGTGGCTAGTTGTACACTCGTTAATGTACCAAAAACGTCTTAATACAGACATACAAAAAACACAATAAAGCGTTAAGCAACCACGATATTGGTCTTTAAGAAAAAAAAAAAATAAAAATAAAAAATAAAAAATAAAAAAATAAAAAGAAAATATATAGTTGCGAAGACCAAAGTACTTATATCTCGTAATTTACTAGGCTGATTTTAATAGTTTAATTGCTATTTTAATTGCAAGATGCTCCTCTATAACTTTACTTAGAGCTTTAACTAAGAAAACTTTTAAAAATCACAATATTTTTATAATTTTATTAATAAAACTATGGAAAATATTAAAATCTACAAAATTTTACTAATTAAACTTACCTTTATGTTCTAAATAAACTTGTTCTACATATAAAAACACACTATATCAATATATATATACTTTATAATTTTAAATTTTAAAAGAAAAGATGCTTAATTTTGAATTTTTAATCAAAAATTCTAAAATTAAGCATTTTTCTTACAAACTTTAAAATTATAAGATAATTATATGCTGATATAATATATTTTTATGTGTAGAACAAGTTTACTTATCTTTTAATTGTTTTGCAACCAAATTTGCCTGCAACTTTTTTTAAATTTTAAATTTTTTTAATAAAATTTTAAATATTGATTTTAGTTATATATTTTCTAAATAAAATATTTAATTTTAGA